CCCTGGGCTGCACATGTCCTCCTAACGTGTAAATACGCTCAAAGCCATTTCTCAGCTCTAACACTGGCAATGGCCCTGACAATCCCACCACACAACAGGCGTCTTGAACGCCTTTGGGTCTTGCTCTCAGGCACTCATTTCATATCCTTTTACTGGTATCAATACTTAATTTCCTTCTGAAGTCTTGTCTTTCCTAGAGTGCTGAGTATAGGAGCTTCTCAGTGGAATTGACTCTTCCAATGTGTAGATCTCCAGCCTGATTCATCAGAGTATTCCACGTATCCAAATAATTGACTCAGGTGGCTCCATCGGAGCCCATGAAATTTTTCTGTGACTTCCATGAAAGAGAATCTTACTTATTCTTTCACATTGGACATGTGCCTGGGAGCCTCTATCAGCCATCTCACCATCACAGAGCATAGACCCATTTGAGAGTGGAGCCATCCACAGGGGAAGCAGGGAAACAAAGATAGAGAGAGGAAAATGGGTCTTGGAGTCATTATTTGAACCCTCATCTAGACACGCCGCTAGCCAGTTCTTCCCTTGTTCTTTTCGGGTATAACAACCATTAGTGCACTTTTATTTGGGTTCTTTGAGTCTGGTCACTTTGCAAAACATGTCACCCTCTCTAATCTGCTTATGTGCACAGTTACATCTTCAAAAGTCATCACATCAAATTATAATTCAAGAGAACACAGACAACTGCAGTTCTGGGACGCGGCCCTTTCACGCCTCTGCGCATGGTACTTCATTTGCTCAGAATGCCCTCGCTGGCCTGTCTGCATGACTAACTTGAAAGTGACTTTCTTTCCTCTGATTCTCTCTGCCCCTGAGCCGGAAGGGGATCACGATGACTTCATGCGTTTTCCTTGCTGCCTGGGAACTCCAGCGTAGTCATGGCAGCAATAGTAAACATTTACTGAGCACTTTTAACATGGCTTACTCGTATTCTCTCACTTGGTCCTTGCTAGGATCTGGTTTGTGTATCCTCAAGATTCCAATGTTGAAACCTAATTAGCAAGGTGATGACATTGGGGATGGGAGGGAGCTGGTGGAGGTAGTTAAACCATGAAGATTCTGCCCTTACTTTAAAAAAGGCCCCAGAGAGCTCTTCTACCATGAGAGGACACAGTGAGAAGACGGCCATTTATGAACCAGGAGCAGGCCCTCGCCCGACACCAGATACGCTGGCACCTTGATCTTGGACTTCCCAGGGTTCAGAGCTGTAAGAAATAAGCGTCTGTTCACAATCTACCTAGTTTTTGATAATTTGTTCTATCAAACCAAATAAAATAAGACCGTCCTCATGAAAATTATTCTACCCATTTTGTAGATGGGGAGACTGAGGGACAGAGAGGTTCAGAAATGTGTGGCATGGATAGCGAGTGGCACAGCAGCCCCAGGCACTGCAGCATCCAGGCTCGTATTTACCACCTGGGGGCGCTGCTCCCGTGTTTGCATCTTCGTGTCCCACTCATCTTGATACCCGTACTCCACGCCGGGCCCTCCATAGCACGAGCACCATTAAGACGTGATGAAGTAAT